TCCAGGCCAGGTTGGATCAACCTGGTTTACTGGGAGGTGTCCCTTCCAGCCCAAACAATTTGAGGATGCTGTGATAGTTTTCTTAATTCCCTACCCTTTCTAAATCCAGGAGGATTCTCACAATGTCCTTAGGGGGCATGAATAGAGTTGTCTTTGAGATCCATTTGTCGAGCATGTGCAGCTTCCAAATAATAAAACCTTAAAAAGGTAAGAAGTGGGAATTGGGTGCAAAGTTAACTTGTACAAAATACGTCTAACACTGTGAGACATCCATCAGACATATTTCAAAAAACAAATAAAGCACAATACCACACCACAGCCCTTGAGACTATTCTCTGAAGGGTTGGTTGGTTTCTTTTTTCATTTGAAGTTCCATCTCATAATTCTAGGTTGAAGTTGTAGACAACATACCTCTTCCCTTCTGCCTGTCCTTTCTTCTACGGCAGTTTGTCATGCATGAAAGGAATTTCTCCTATGACCGTAATTGCAGAAAGCATTGTGGGGAGAGGCAGGTACAGCACTTGCTTTCTGAAGTAAAAGCTGCTTTGGCATTTTTGTTTTGTTTTGTCATGTCTAGCAAATAAGCGCTGGACTTGGACAAGCAGAATCTCTGTTGTATTTCATGTGCCATATGTACCTATAGAGAAAAATGTGAACAACAGAGAAGTGGGATTTTTTTTATGTCCCATCTCTTGATAACTTAAGGGCTTTGGTCACCAAGTGCTACTTGTTTCTCCTGGACATGGAGTGAGCTACTGCATATACTTATATATGGCTGCTCCATCCCTTTGAGTGTTCTATGCCAGATTGGATGGGGCTTGGAGCAGCCTGGTCTAGTGGAAGGTGTAGATGGCAGGGGGGTGGAACAAGATGAGCTTTGAGGTCCCTTCCAACCCAAATGATTTTGTGATGTAGCTTGTGTCAGCTCCCCCTTACAGCTGAAGGAGTTAATAACCGTGTGGAGAAGGGCAGAGAGGAAGGCTCACTGGCTATTGGGAGAGGGCATGAGCATCTCCAGCTCACTCCTATAGGTCACAGGCAGCATTACGTGTGGGCTGAAGCAGGAGGATGCTCTGTTCTGGAGAAGAAGACATTTCTCAGCAGTGTATTGCTGCGCATCACTTTGAAACGTGGCCCAGTGCTTGCAGAGTCGAGGATGTGCCAGTCAGGACAACCTCAGCTACGTGGCAAGGGGAGAGTTTTGTCCTTAATGTCGTATAATGGAGCTCTGCACCCTGCAAATGATGACCATCATCAAGGGAAGCTGTGCCCATACAGTCCATCAAAAGCCACAAAGCTAATGATGGGCTGGGCAGATAATCGGGGGAGAGTTAATTGTGAGGTTCGATATGGCATCTTGTCAGCAGAGATAAGTTGTCACGTTTTCCACTTGAGCTGAAACTAAATGATTGTAAAATAAGTTATGAGTGTCCTTGGGCCTGTCTGCCAGAATGATGGCTAAGAATACATTCCTGGCCCATCAGTCTCAAGCAGCCCGCTTGATATTTATGCGAACTGAATGTTATTTTATTCCCCCTGTAGTCATGCTTGTCAGCTTCTCGAGTGAAAAGTGAAACTGCTGCTTTGACTCGTACTTCAAGTATTGAAGCTCGGAGAGGCTGCAGATTGTTATTATTATTGCTAGTATTATATATTTTTTTGGGTGTGTGTTGAACATTGATGCCCGATTGGGAAGAACTAATGGCTGACATTGAACATGCGGGATGGCTGGAAAACAGCCCAGCCCAGTGAAACGCAGCTGATGAGTGCCAGTGCCTCTGTTGAAGCTGGTTGAGATGGGGAGTAAAGTGACACTTGCTTTTTTAATTTGCCATGCCTTTTTCCTTGCCTTCCCCCCCCCCCCCCCTTTTCTTCCCTATATTTAATAGTGCCGGCAGTGGTCGTCTGTTCTCAGGCGTGGTAATTGATACCAAATAAAATGCATTATTTGTATTCAGTCAGGAGGATGAAATTGCATTCAGCGGGCTGAAGCCTGAGCTCATTTACAGTTTGCTGAAGCCCAGGCGTTCAGGAGTCCTCTTTTCAATTTGAAGAATACCTTGTCAGGCAAAGGAAGGGGTGGGAAATGGGAGAGCACAGCGTGTAAGCCCAGCGCCTTTTGATTGCTCATATTTTAAACCAGGAGAATGTTAAATAACTTCCATCTTCAAAGGGTGGTCTCCGAAACCGGCAATCCGGGGCAGCAGTACACCAACAATATCAGCTCAGCGCTGTTTACGAGCGATTGGCGTTTCGTTGCTGGTTGAGGGGGAGGGAGAGCTCCAGGCTCTTCGTTTCACTGCTGTTTGACCCAAGGACAGCAGGTTATTACCCGGAAAGGGCTGTGGAGGACGAGGATTTACCATAGGAGGTTAATTCTTCAGCAGTCCGACACCAGTCATCAAACTGTACACCCCTCGTTTTTCAGAGCTCACAAGCAGGTTTTGTTGGGGCAATTTATAGCGCAGAAATTAGACGAAGCTGCAGTGAGTGTGTGGATCTACCTTGATGTTTCTTAACAATGTGTTCTGTGAGTTTGCCTCGTGGTGTGGTTGCTTCACCATTTTGTGGGTCTAGGGCATCATGGTTGATGCTGCAGTTGTGTGAGGTGGTGAACACAGATGGGTTTAATTCTTTCTGAAGTGAAATCTGAGAGTGTGGGGAAAGAAGTGAAGCATTTTGAATCATAGAATCACAGAATGGTTTGGGCTGAGAGCTGCCTTAAAGAACATTTAAATCCACGCCCTGCCATGGACAGGAACACCTTCCACTAGACCAGGTTGCTCCAAGTCCCATCCAACCTGGACAGGGATGGAGCAGCTGCAGCTTCTCTGGGTAACCTGTGCCCATGCCTCAGCACTGATGAAGATACTGTTTAGCACTGGTCCCAGTACAGACCCCTGAGGGACACCTCTCACCACTGACGTTGGTCAGGACTCTGAGAAGCTGTGTTAGATGTGAGCAAGCCTTCCTGGCTGGTATGCTCTGGTATTTTTCCATGATATTTAGGAATCTTCTGGATTTTCACAGGCAAATGAAAATAAAGCAGACTCCTTTTGTTGCCTCGTGACAGACCTTGGTGCCACAGCCAGTGCTTGGCTCATCATGGCAGTTTTCACATCATTGCACCAAAGGAGGGTATTTTCTGGGGCTTTTCCCTCCTTTTTAAGTATCTACATAAGAAACCTTAAGAATCGGACTGGAGGTCAGTGTTTGGGACTAGCTGTAACCCGCTTTCATCCGTGCTCGTTCCTGTGGTTTGCTGACATGCTCTTCAGCATCCCCTCCTCCTTCAGTGTCAAGGAGCCGGAGGGATCTGTGTCCTCTGGGCCGGGAGCATGCGGAGCACTAGCATGGATGCTCATCAGGGCTTGCTTTCCTCTTCCCCTAGAGGGGCACCAGCCCTTGCAGGAGAGCCACTTGCACCACTTATGGGTCAGATACTTAAATTCTCCTGTACAAATATGCAGTAAATAGGTTTGCACGATTCCTTTCTGGGGTTGTACACTGAGCACTTGTTTCAAACTAGTGGATGGAGGGAAAAGATCAAAAATCCTCAATATAAGGATTAATGTTTGATTTAGTCTCTGTTGCCAGGCAATTAGCTGAATAGTTGATGCCCCACTAATAACTTAAAGCACAACTTAGTTTGTAATTAGCAAAGAAACTTTATTAGAGAACAAAACCAAAATAAGTTGGTTTTTGTCAAATAGGCAGTTAGGTAGGAATTGAACTAAGCAAAAAAAAAAAAGCTGCTTTTTAAATAATCTTTGGCTTTCTATTTCTCTGACATAATTAAACTGAAGGCGCAACTGTTATGACACTTAAGCTTTGTACTAGGGATTTTTGTTCTTTTCCCTAAGTCCACTGTTTTGAACCCAATCACCAAGTGTTTAACCCCAAAGGCAATCACAGGAATGCATTTACTGACTCTGCATAGGAGATTTTAAGGGTGTGCCCCATAACTGCAATCCTGGTACCAGACTTGAGTGCAGTATGGTGTTTAACCAAGGTTCTGGAAATGGCTTCACTTGCCTTAAAATGCAAGTTTTAGGTGGAATTTTATAATTAAAATCAAAAGCAAAGCAGTAATTAAACAAAAATATTACCAACCTTGGGGGGAAACCTTGGTTTAGGGTTACTGCATGAAAGGATCCAGATGGAGAGACTTGGAAGTCCATCTTCCTGTCCTAAACTTGTGTTAAATGTGGCTGTTATACATTGCTTGGCTGAAAACGAGAACTGCCCAAAAAGCAGCTGTTTGTGTCTGACCAGCCATCCTCTGGGCCTGGGAGGAGCCTGTGGGCTCTGCTTGCAAGACTGTAGTGTCATCAGCCTCTTAACTGTGCTTTGGTAACTAATGGGTGGGCAAGGGGAGAAAATTACTCTCACCAGTTGTTAGAATTGTTGGATATTAAGCTACCAGGGCTAATGCAGCAGGAAAATGAGAACACTGAACATAGGATTATTGTTTTCATGGGGAGCAGGTAGTAAGTGACCCTTTGTCACACACATGTGTACATTCATTACCCGTTTTTCCCACCATTAGTGACATCACCACCTTCTTGATGTGTGTCTGATGTTAATGGAATTAGATAGCATCCAGAGGGTGTTGGGAGTATCTCTGCTCTGTTCTGTTCTGCATTAAAATGTCCAAGTGTTATGTGAATTAATTTGAGGCTCAGGAAGATCTTTGTAGGAAAGAGCAGTTGGAAATAACAAAGTGCTTTCCCATTGGTTCTCATGCTTCTGAAATTGGTGCCAAGTCCTGTTGGTTTAATAGGACTTGTATCAGCACTTCAGCCAAGTTGCTTTGTTTGTACTTTTTGGAAAAATGATGGATACTTTTAAGAAGTTCTCCTGTGGCCTTTGGAAGTCAATGAGCTCAAGAATGTAGCTGCTGACAGACAGTAAGGGGTTGTAACTTGGGTTCTAGCAATCATCAATCAAAACTGCAGTTATTTTACTTTTCTATCCTTTGTGTCCCCACCAAACTGCAGATACAGGCTTGGGAGATTCCGTGTGTTCCAGTCCCAGCATATCCAGTAGGACGAGCCCCAAGTTCGATCCCCCTCCGTCACCTCACGCCAACAGAAAGAAGCACCGCAGGAAGAAAAGCACAAGCAACTTCAAAGCTGATGGGATCTCGGGCACAGCTGAAGGTAAGCTCACTCCATGGTAAACGTCTCAGTCTGGAAAATGTCATTCCAAAGGGTGTTGTTAACTGCAATGCAACTACTCAGTTAGCTTGGAATACAGAAAGTAAAGGGAATTGTCCTGCAGTGAGAAATTAAAAACTGAGCTCTTAAAGATGAAGCTGAGGCATCACAGTGGTGAATTCAGCTGTCTGAGACATGTTTGGAAACAATTACTTTGGTAAATAATAGTGTCCCCAAGTTAATATGGAGCATCATTAGGTACAAAGGTAGGAAGAGGCATACTTGGAAGGTTAACAAGGAGGAGAAATTTAGGTTCACTCTGTAGTCCACAGATCACATTAGAACCTGTGTGTTTTTTCAATGTTATTAAATCTCCTGTTGCACATCTCCTTGGGCACATCCTGAGCTCTAGAATCGTCATTGCTTCTGATGCCTGTCATTGTTTGAATATTCAGCTGCTCATGGAAAGCTTGTGTTACATGAGGATAAAAAGGAAAAGGGGAGAGTTTAAATGTTTGGGTTCTTTTTTTAAGAACCAGAAAGTAAAAGCCAAAAAGAACTTCTTTCTTTCCCTTAGTTTAGCTTAATATTTCCAATGTGAACACTGTTATAGCTGTTCAATGCCCTTCTGAAGGGGTAACAATGTGTACAGGAGACAGATGGGATATAAAACATGCTTGGAGCTTTAGAAAAGAAGAAAAGAAACATGCTAGGATTCAACCAAAAGAGCTCCAGAAAAAAAGATGAACAAGGTTAGTTGGAAGGCACAGAAACTGGGGAGTCAACACATAGGGAGAGATGAAAAACTGATACAATGGAATAACATTGTGGGGAAAGGGGAATGTTGAGTAAGAAAAAGATGTGGTTGTAAGCATGGGAGAGCAAAAAACAGCTAATTCAATATCAAAGTGTGTTGGAACAAGTTCTGAAAAAAGGCTGACAATTGCAGACAGCTGAAGAGACATTAAAAATAGATGTGATAATAGTATACAACTGAGCAGGGGCATGTTAACTACTACTTAGTCATCCTTATTTTCCATTTATTTAATTTCTCAATTGCACTTCTATCATGGATGGAATTTATTTCCCCAGCTAGCTATATAAATCTTCCCGTAAAAAGCCATCAGCTTTTCTTCATCATGGCTCCTGTTGTGTTCTCTTTCCAGTCATTTAACTGTCTTTGCTGTTCGTTTCCCCCTAGTTTATGGCCTGAAGCCAAATTTTAGTTTAACCTTTCATTGTTAATTTGTTGCTTTTTTTAAAAAAACAAGCCCTTTTACACCACTTATTTTCATACCTCACTGGCAAATTACAGAGGGGATTTTTCAGGGCATTCACCATTGGTCCAGTACTATTTTGTTGAAGTCAATATGAATCAAGACCAGCTGGATATCAAGAGCCTTTGAAAAATCCCTCTCTAAGTAGTTAATATGTGTATGTTTTCTTTCTCCTGGGGAGATTATTTTCACAAGTCACTGGAGCTTGAGCCTATGTGGTCTTGGGCCACAGGCACAGGCCCACAGCAAGTTGTGGGGGGTTTGCAGTGTTGTGCATCTTGTGTCCCTGTTCTGGTCAGAGTGGGATGTACATGCTCCTTCATTCTGCCTCTGTTTTATCTTCCTCTTCTCCGTGTCTGCCAGCATCACACCATGCTAGTCTGAAATCCTTTGCAGTAACTCAGCAAAATTGTCCCCTCATATAAATGGGACAAATGTGCTTCCAGAAGGGCAAGAACTGGCTAGGAAGCAGCAACTAGGTAATACCCAGGGAGCATTAAAAGTAGTGAAATCATTAAGGTTGGACAAGACCTCTAAGGTCATCAAGTCCAACCATTCCCCCAGCCCTACCAGTTCCACCACTAACCCATGTCCCCAAGTGCCACATCTACAGATTTTTTGAACACTTCCAGGGATGGTGACTCTGCCGTCTCCCTGAGCAGCCTGTGCCAATGCCTGACTACCTTTTCCATGATGAAATGCTTCCTGATGTCCAACCTGAACCTCCCTTGGCACAGCTTGACGTTGTTTCCTCTCATCCTTCCACTTGTTACCTGAAAGAAGAGCCTAACCCCACCTGGCTGCAGCCTCCTGTCAGGGAATTGTAGAGAGGGGGAAGGTTCCCCTGAGCCTCCTTTTCTCCAGGCTGAGCCCCCACAGCTCCCTCAGCCTCTCCTCATCAGACTGGTGCTCCAGCCCCTTCCCCAGCTCCGTTCCATTCTCTGGACATGCTCCAACAGTGAGTGCCAACACTTGGTTTTACAGTTTTGTACCTCTGCACGAGCCCATCAGCTTTCACATGCCTTCTGAGATGAGCGCTCTGGGGCTTGCATGCCCTGGGCAAGCCACAGTGGTTGTTAAATGTTTTATTTTTATACCATACCCAATAAAAATAGTGGTTTGGCCACAAGAACAGAATCGTGAGTTTCCATGCAGTGTTCTCACCATGTGTGAGGGGAACTCTGGGCATCCTTCAGCAGAGAGCTAATCTTACTGGTCCTTGAATCCTTAGCAAGGCTGGGAGGAGATGACTGACAGCTAGGACAGTCAGCCTCGTCTGTCAGTGGGAGCTGAAGGAGAAGGCAATGAGGCGTGCTCGAGTTCCTGTCCTTTCAGGAGAAGGGCGTCTCGGGAAGAGTAATAATGGTTGCAGGTTCCCATTAAGTACGTCCTAGCAAGACTCACGGAGTCTGGGGGTGCTTTTTCCAGTCCTGGCATGTGCGGCCTGCAGCCTTGGTATTTTCTGGTGCTTGTGTTGGTGCAGGCCAGAATCATAGAAACCTTTAGGTTGGGAAAGACCTCTAAGATCATGGAGTCCAGCTGTTCCCCTAACACTGCCAGGTCCACCACTGGACCATGTCCCTCAGAAGGTATGTTGGGTGTGTTGAGTGAAGCTGTGTCAGAGGAGCTTTAGGCTGGATATTAGGAATGGTTTCTTCCTCCAGGGGATGGTGGGCGCTGGAACAGCTTTCAGGGCAGTAGTCACAGCCCCAAGGCTGACAGAGCTCAAGAAGTGTTTGGACAATGCTCTCAGGCACATGGTGGGGTTGTTGGGGTGTCCGGTGCAGGGCCAGGGATTGGACTCAATGATCCTTGTGGATCCCTTCCAACTCAGGAGATTCCATGATTCTATGCTTTTCACATCCATCTTGCTCTTTGAAGCAGTTTTCAGTTCAGTAGTTCAGCCTTTCCTCAGGAAAAGGTGTAGTTCCTTGTTCTCCAGGACTTGACTACAAATCTGTCTAGTGACCTAAAAGATTTCTCTTTGGATTTTTCTTCCCCCACACTTGCTGTCAGCAGAGATTTAAACCCTCAGGGTATTACTACGGTTTTGGAGACCACAAATCCAAATTAAGCAGTCACACGAGATGTTCCAAGAGATGCACACTTTGCTTTGGCAGCTTTGATCAAGTGTGGGAGATATAGCAGGTGACTTGTTGAGAAGCCTGTGGTGATAATCATGGGAGAACCATCTCTTCCCTCCTTCTGGAAATCCTGAGCTGAGTGTGCAAAGGAGGAGGAGTATCCTCCTGCAGTCACTGTTCCCAGGCAGGTACAATGGATCAGAGATAAATTATATGGGTAATTCTGGATTTAATGTCGCCTTCCTTTGGCTCCAGGCACATTTCAAGTATCAGCTTTCAAACAGGAATTCTGGGTTCCTTCATTTTTGTCTGTAGTGAAGCTGAGGTGTTCAATGAGGTTTAAATCTGGTCTTCAGCAAACTTGAACACTTTTGCTGCACTTTGCAGCCTTTTTTTTCCTCCTTGAACATGCCTGCTTTGATCATTGACCTCTGCCCAAGTATTCAGATATCACGATGATGGACACTGAGCTCAGGGCGATTCACCAATTCTGAGGACTGATGCTCATCCCTTTTATGCCCTTCCATAAAGGTCATGCTGATTCTTCTTTCTCCACACTATCTACACATGCACAGCCCTCTCTTTCTGGGTTGAACTCTTTCATCTCTCCTGGTTTATCTTTCCACAGGTTTTCTGAGACAGTGGTCACAGCAACAAAATTGCTAAAGCATCTGTGTCACATGCTGGATGAAAATTAAAATTCAATTCCTATTTTGGAAAATCGGATTCCTGTGAATTCTTTTTCCAGTGCAGTGAAACCCAGGGAGAAGTTTTTTAGTTCTCTGTGCAGAACTTGTCACTGAAAAAAATCCCTTGGTGTTTTTGAGGGTAGCAGCAGCAATGCTTACATTAGGCAAGGTGCCAGCAACCAGCAGTTTTTTCACACCATGCTGCCTAAACTTGCTCCGAGCAGGATTTAGACAGTGCTGTGTTTCAAAGAGGAATGGCTGCTCAGACCCTGGTGTGTTTTGGTACCCTTGTGCTGCTGCAGTTAGTGGAACAGCCAGTGATTTTCAGCTGGAAAACAAGTAGAAAAATTACAAGGCTTTCTTGGAAATACGCTTCACAGAAAGACCTTTCCCAGTGTTTATTTTTCTTACTCTTACTAGTTTTACAGTGTCATGGCAATGCATTCCATCTATTGCTGAGTTTTTAGGAGCTATGGAGAGCCCAAGGTATGTCTGTCTTCTGACATTGTGATCATCCATGTTCTGCAAGTCTTCATTGACAGAGAGCTCTGGCCAGTGGGGACAATGTTGTTGTCTGCTGAAGGCCCAGCCTGACCATGTCCAGGTGGGTGGGTCCATCCACTCCTTCCATCAGGGGAAGCAGGAATCACAGATTAGTTTGGGTTGGAAGGGACCTTTAAGCTCACCTCATTCCACCCCCTGCCATGAGTAGGGGCACCTTTCACTAGACCGGCTTACTTCAACCCCATCCAACCTGGTCTGGAGCACTTCCAGGGATGGAGCAGCCACAGCTTGTCTGGGCAACCTGTGCCAGTGCCTCAGCACCCTCATGGGGAAGAAAATTGATCTCCTTTCTCAGCAGAACACACACAGCTCCGTGCTCCTGTGCACTCAGGTGGAGCTGAGAAACAGGACTTGGTGGCAGAGTAGTAAATGTGATCAGCAACTTGGTA